GGGGGGGGTGGTGAGGGCTGCAGGAGCTACCTCTAAACCCTGGTCTCCAAGGAGGAAGTTTGCTGCTTGAAGCCTCCTCCGCGCTGGCTGGACACCACACAGGGTGGTCTGCAGTGCGCCTGGGACCACAGCACCCGCCCCCCCACAGCTGGGCTGTGCGCTCACCGCCCCGAGCAGTGGAAGCAGAGGCTGTGGTGGTATCCCCCACCCCGCCAGGCTGCACACCCTGCCAACCCTCACCGGCCTGGGGGGGGCGGTGGCCACAGGGTGGGAGGGGGCGCTGGTTGTCTGTGACAGTGTCTGGACATCTTCACAGATCTCTTCTACTCGAACCAAAAAGAAAGGCATCTCAGTCCAAACTGCAAAGCCCAGGTCCTTCCCCACCCCACCCCTGCCTTGCCCAGCCTCCCCCTACCCCCCAAAATGACTTTCTGATAGTAAAGGATGCGTTCATCCTTCTGTGCCTCTGCCCCTCCTCCAGAGGGAGCCAGGTGTCCCAGTTCGCTAGGACCTCAGTCTCTCTGCTAGCCCACCCAGCCACAAGCCTGCCTCTCCCCTAAGCCTTTGCCCACACTGCTCCCCAACTTGGAAGGCTCTTCCTTTGCCCTCTTCTTTACTTGCTGAACTCCTACACATCCCTCAAGACCCGGCCTGAAAATCCCTTTGTCTGTGGCTTTCCCTGATGAATTGCCCTCTCTCCTCCCTTATGCCTCATCATGTTTTTTGGTCCGTTGGCCGTGTTCCTGCTTTGCCTCCTCAGCAGACACTGAGCCTCTAGGAAAACTTCGGGACCAGCAGGTCAGAGCGTGAATGAAAAGCAGTCAGATCTTCGGGGCTCTGCTTTGCCATCTCAAGGCTGTGTGACCTTGGGTGAATTACTTTTCTTTCTGTACCCCTTCTGCTCTGTAATGTGGGTGTGACGGTACTAGCGGGATGAGGTACCCAGGAAGGTACTCTGTGGGCACTGGGTTGAGGGAAGCCAGGTGAGGGGAGCAGAGCCCCGAGGCCCAGGATCTCAGCTGCAGTCAGTCTGTGCTCCGGGGGCCCTGAGAGCAGGCCCGGGGAGGGGCAGGAAGGAATTTCAGCCCCAGAGGTCAGCTGTGACTGTCCCCGCCGGCCGGTGGGGGGGGACCCATCTCTGCTGTGGGGACCCCATTCCCGTGCAATAAGAGGTTTGACCATTAAGCCCCTGGTGACCAGGTGGAGAGGAGTTCCTACTCCAGGGCTGTGAGGAGCTGTGCTCAGGGGCCTTCAGGGAAAAGATCGCCAGAGCCAGGATGGCAGGAGGGGTGGCTGCCTTCTCCCAAACCCGGAGCTCAGCAATTACTAACTCCAACACATCTATGGACAGAAAAGAAAACAGTCCCCATTGTTTGGGGGGAGAAGGGAGGATTAGGGCCTCTGAACCTGCTCCCAAGAGGGACCCAGGCCGTGCCTTGCGTTAAGATTGAGGGGCGTGGCCCCCTTCCAGGGATGGTCCCAGGCGGGGTTCCTGCCCTGCACACACTGACTTGTGGCCCAGGCAGCTGTCTGTCCAGCACAGGGGAGGGGTGCAGTGCCCAGGAAGTAGGCCCTGGGGCGGGGGCTGTGTGCGTCACCCACAGGAGTGGGGTGGAGCTTGGCCTTGCCTGAACCCCAACCACCAGGGGCTTGCCCCTCCTGCAAGTGTTGTGGGGGGGCAGTTAAGGAAAGGAGGCCTGGGGAGATGTAGGGGGGGTTCGGGAGGGGCTAGGAGCTCAGAGGTCCTCCCCAGTTATTCAGCGAAACCCCATGCTTCCCTGTCCCCAGGGTGGTGAACAGCTAGTTCAAAGCCCTTTCACGGAACTCTACCTCTGAAACTAATACACTGTATGTTAATTAATTGAATTTAAATTAAAAAAATAAAGTAATGCACTAGAAAAAAAACCAGCTTACTCCCTGCCCTCCAAGTAGGCCCTTCTGCCCAGGCTCCGCCCTCGCAAGGCTGTGGCCTGGACTGTCCCCGGGGCCCCAGAGCTGCTGCTTAGGGGGGTGAGGTGGAATCCACATGGAAGATTCCAGGGTTTCCCCACCACGCACAACTCTGAACCACACAACTCAGCCCTAGGAAGGGGGTCAGGGAGCATGGGGTCCTCTGGGGGCAGGGCTGGGAGGGGTGGGGCAGCTGGGGGCGGATTCAGTGAGGACAGGTAAGGGGACGGCCATGTCCTCTCCAGCACATGCTGGAGCTCCAGAGCCTGAGGTGGCCCCAGGCCTGCCTGGGCCCCTGGCCTGTGCCCCCTGTGCCCCGAGCTGGGGCTAGTCTTGCTACTGTTGTTGTCAGCACCTTGGTGCAGGCTGGGCCTGGAACATCCTGTGTTTTAACTCCTCTAGGGCTCTCGGCCATCTGGTGGGTGGGGGGTTCTCACTCCCATTCCG